AACGGCGGTGAATAAACCAACTGATTTTACAATTAAGAAACAGAAAACAAAAAGGTCTTTTTTTTTTAAAAAAAAAAGTGGCGCAGATTTGCGACACGGCGCTGTTTACATGAACGGCGCACCAGTACTCATAGAGCCCAGGAGCTGCTTGTTGCGGTACTTGTACCCGTTGTACTCATTGAGTGAAAGGGGGAGGTTCATCACCTCAACGCATCGGTCGTCAAGACGGAAGCAACTTCGGTGATGCAGGCGTGTCAGTGTGCTAATAGATCCAGTCGGCGGGGACTTCATCAAGTGAAAGGTGTCGACTGTTAAGTGGAACCAGCGCTTTACAAACATGCGTATGGTTTGCCCATGCGTCACAATGACAACGTTTGTGTCCATCGCAAAGTCCAGTCGCTCACGCTGAAAGGCATCAAGAAAGCTTGTCACACGATCGCACACGTCGGCGCCACTCTCGCCGTACGGGAAACGGTAGTAGAATCTACCGTACACTTCTCGCTCACGCAGGTGCTGAAGAAGTTCATCCTTTGACTTGTAACGGCCAATGTCCACGTCCCGCAACCGCACATCCTCACGCACGCCAATGATGGAATCGCCATCCATCTTTTGCTCACTTCTGTACTCGTCGTAGCCTCGCAGCATGTGTCTAAAACTTTGCCGACTACGCAAATAGGGAGAAAAATAAAAGTAGACAGGCTCGTCTCCAACCATCTCCGCTACATGCCTCCCAGCTCTATAGCACTCTTCTTCTCCCTCCGGTGCAATGGAAATGCGCCAATCAGGCGTAGTAACGTAGGTTCCGATATCTACATCGGCAAGGCTCTTGCCGCTACGCACAAATATGATGCGTTTAACCGGTTCCGCGATGACGGTAGGAATCTTCGACGACCGACGAGAAGCGTCACAGCGGATCGTGATGGACATTTTGCCGCCGCCCTCCGTCTGCGTCACCGTCTCGGTGGCTGTTTCCTTCGCTGCAGGAGACGCAGTTGCCGATGACGCCGCCTTCGTCGCGGCGGCCGAGCATATACACTCCTGGGCCGCACTTGGAGCCCCTGCATTTGGCGGATGACTGTGTGTCATGAGCCGCCATAACGCTCGTCGAAGCATTGCCGCCTTGGGCTCGTGTGATGCCCCAGCGGCCACCTCAATACTCTCACCCTACACGTCCCGAGCGAGAAACACCTGAATACGCAGCCAGCGAGAGACCGGTTTTTAAGTTTGCCTGCTCTACAGCTAATAACGGCTGGAATGCAAACCACACAGACACACACACACAACAAAAGATAACAAGGAATGAGAAAAGAACAGCGCAAGACACAAGTAAACAACGAGGAAGAAATCAACGTGTGAAGACGGCCGTGTGGCAGGAGAAACGCGGACGTCCCAAGGAAATGAAGAGCGAAGAGGTAAAGAAGAAGAACACGAACTAGTACAGAGGAGGAAACAGAGCGGGATAGAATCACAACAACAACATAAAGGTGGGAGGGAAGTGAGTTCCACCACATAAACGCACTAAAGTAGCTGCATATACTAAGCAGCTGAAAGGAACGAAGAAAGGGGAAAGAGAGGGAAGGAGAAGGAGCAAAACAGGGAGATGTAGGCTTGCTTCCGTGCACGCCCGGCCTCCCGCAAGCTAAGAATATATTCTTCCAACACACACACACACACACAAACAAAAAAATTCAAAGGATGCTCTACATTAACTGAGTGTCCCTGCTGAACTCACGAAATGGCAGCATTTAGGGCTTTGCGACCGCCGGACCCTTCCCCCCTCCTCCGCATGGAGGCTATATGTGGCAATGGAGCTTTGGGGTGGGAGAGCGGCAGAAGGAAACTGCACACGCTGCCTTCCGCTGCGTCATCGATGGATACCGCAAAGTAGGCTATACGCCGAGAAACAGGGTAGGTGTGCGAGACGTCTGCAAGCATTGAGGACGTCGCATCCATTCGTGCATTACTCCCACAATTTTCTACGAAAAGAAGAGGAAAAAAAAGCAAAAAAAAAATAGAACGTGGTGGTAGCCAAGTGGATAAAGATGACAGGAAGGAGCGGGAAGAAAGACATGGAACAGTGCGTTGTATCCGCGAAGTACCTTCTATTTACAACCCCTCTGCGGGGGTAAATGAGTCCGGGTGGTCCGAAAAAAACATATGACGGTACCGTTTGGTGCAGTCCTTGCCATCGAACTTCATCATTTCCAGCAGCGGGTCACTGCCAAAGAGCTTCTTGCTGATGTCAGTCATAACAAGTCGAGCCGAGTCGCGCCGTTCCAGCACTACAATGGAACAGTTGGGAGGATTGCGCATTGTTTCAAAGGCCCCCACCGGCACGCGGAACCAGCGGGCAATGAAGAGCCTAATGAGGAGACCGTGCGAGATGATCACGACATTTTGGTCCTCCTCCCCCGGCAGCGTGAGCGGTTCATCAGGGTCTCTCGCGGAAAGCGAGTGGAGCTCCAGCCGCTCGCGAAACAGGGAGTCAAAAAATGTGGACACGCGGTCGCCGACATCCACACTACTCTCACCCCCAGGGAAGCGGTAGTACGAACGACCAAACTCGTTGCGCTCGCTCCACGTTCGATCCATTGTGTCCAACGGCTGAAAATTGCCCATCTCCTGCTCGCGCAGTCGCTCGTCCTCGCGCTCCCCCTGCACCTGGGATTCATCTAAACTCTTCCGTACCTCTGCCAGCGTCTGCCGGGTGCGAATGTACGGCGAGTAATAAATATAAAGTTTCTCATTCTTGATGATATTTCGAAGGCGACGACCGCAGTCTAACGCCTGCGCTCGACCACGTTCGGTCAGCGGGATCTTCCAGTCGGGTATTCTGCTATACAGAGAGCGGTCGACGTTTGCCTCCGACTCTCCGTGCCGCACAAGGAGGAGCCGGTGCGGAAGCCATTGACTGTTGGGAATCTCAACGGCGAACCGAGAGCATAGCCGTGGTTGCCTCCGCATCCCGCACAATGGCGCCTCCGCTACCCCGCTAGGCTGCCTGCCTGTTTGCTTGTTGTTCTTTTATACTTTGCCTCCACCCTCTGGCGGGTTCTTTTCGAATTTGCTTCTCTCGTTCTCCCTCTATCGCTGCTGCTGCTGCTGCTGCTGCTGCCACTTCTGGCGACCTGCTTCTTGGCGTGGTGTGGCACCTAAACACGTAGGCCCTCGCCATTGACGGGCAAATACAACGACGCCAGCGCGAAAAAAAAATAATAATAATAATAACGGTAATAATTACGAGGGAGAGAGGGAGAGAGAGAGGAAAAAGTAACCGCGCAGCAGCAACAAAGCAGACGCAATCGTGGCAAAGTTAAAATGACACGAGGCATCAAGACAAAAACAAATAAAAATAAAAAAATTGGCAGGCAGGCAGAAGGCGCCTGAACTGCGCAAACGCAACCACCCCGCACCAGAGCGGGACTGGTCCAATAAATAAGAACGCAACAGGGAACCGTACGCAGGGAATCAAACGCATTTCCCCGCCGCGCGGCAAGGAAGATGCGTGGAAACCGCGCAGCTGCGATCATCACGGCGCACATTCGCCGCTGGGCTATAAGTCAGAATAAAACAAGGTGGTTCCGTCCAGGGCGTGTACAAAGAACCAATAGCCACCCCGATCCCTTACTTGCGAGGCACCTGGACCACTCACCGGATCAAGAAGAGCACGGCAAAAAAAAAAAAGTTGCACCGCAGTGGCGGCCGCGCTGATGAATCATGAAAGCTCCACCACTCTGGTTCCCCGCGCCAGGAGGCCGCAGCCCCATAAATCGCACTCCGTCGTTGCCCAAACCACGGGAAGGCCTCCCCGCCCCGTCATTCTGGGGAAGTTGACTCGACAAAGCGCAGCTGCAGCGAAACTTCACGAAACAGAAACACTCTTCCATCGGCTTAATCAGGCTCAATACCGCTGTCAACGCACAGAAAACTGCGGCCACAGACGCCTATGCTCATCGCTTTCCACTTTCAAAGATCATGCACACGCAAGGACACACGGCTGCCCCCATGATGCCACCTTACGCCGTTCCTCCCCTGTTTTTCCTCCCGGTGGCACTTTATAGCGTACTTCGAAGTGTGTAACTCGCCGCAGGAAAGAGAACGATAAAAACAACGCAAATCTTCTTCACCCCAACGCCAGGAGGCCCTTTTTTTTTTGTTGCTGTTCTTGTTTTTGCCTTAGAAGCATAGGTGTTGACGTCTATCTGCGAGCTGCACAAAACCGAGCTGCCGCTGTCAAATAGTACTCACACGCTCCGGCACTGGCTCACAAACCCCAACCACATCGACAGAGCCATGCTGGCAGCCAATGCGTCTTTTAGTTATTCGTCCCCACCACCACAACACACATCCGGCTTTTGATGGAACTTATCCAGAAGTCTTCTTCTCAAGGTTTCCTTTCCACACCGCATGGGTGTCGGTGCGTGTGTGTATGTGTGTGTACGCCCTGTCTCTGCCCCACTCAATCCCTCATTTCAACACAAAGGCACCACAACCTCCGGCAGACCTGAAACCCAGTGCATCACTCAGACGCCATGGAGAGGGGTCGTTTCCTTGACGATGGTGTTTGGCAGTACGTGGCATCATTCGCGTCACCAGCTTCGTTTTCAAGCAGCAGTGGTAGGTTCAGTCGGTTAGTGACAGGACTGTAGCAGTCCTCGTACGCAAAGGCTGTAACCGCCCCACAAGGATGTAGCACAGCAAGTGTAGGCACGTATCCGCTCGTGTCCTCCGTCACGGTTTGGTCCTCTTCCAGCATCACTTCAGAAGCCACGACATGGGGAGGTCTGCCGCTGCCAGCAGATCGCAGTTGCCGCTGCACACACACATCAGCAATGCCGCAGCCCCGCATTCGTGTGTAGTACTGCGGATGGTGCCGCAAGACGTAGAATGCAACCAACTTGTCAATCGGGAACAGTGTCGTCCTCATCAACGCCGAATTCCGTGAGCCCTCCCCCCGCGTTTGCGCTACGAGCAGCGCCTTCCAGTAGTGTTGCACCATTCCTCGCAGCGCCTTCAGCGTCAGCCGAGACGGCGCAACGCCCTCCGGTGGAGGAAACGGAGCCTCTGCAGTGATGATCTGCGCGGGTCGCCGCAACTTTGGCGTCTGTTGTGAATCATAGCATTCACAGACGTCCCACGCCAAAACTGCACCGCACACACGCTGCAGAAATGGCTGGCCATCCGTCTTGCGCACGAGTAGTTGCTGAATGCCGCAGCCTGCTAGCTGAAGCGCATTCGGATGACTCTGAAAAATGCGAAACAAAACTCCTTCTTCCATGCGAGTCAGCAGCAGAAACCGTTGCTCTTCCACCGTTGCTGTTCCCTTTGCGTCATTGCTTGGGGCGTCCGCCACACTACAGCCGCGTCCACCATCATTGGGGCACGACGGCAGAGCTGCAAGGGACGTCGTGGGACGTGGGTCCCGCAGAAGATGTTGCAAAAACGTCCGCGCAACGTCAAGGCCGCCTTCCGCCACCAGCCAGAGCGGTATATTACTCTTGGCAGCGTCCGTCCCGTCCTTTGAGGCGCTGTCGCTCCTCGGCTTGTTGTCGCCCATCGCGGTGCGCCCCACGAGAAATCCCGCAGGACGTCCCACTTCTGCCTCCCGCCCATCGTCCTGGATGACCGTCAGTGCGAGATTCACCGGGCTGACGCGGCGCACGCGCAGCTCCTGCACACCGCGCTGGCGCAGACGCAACGACGTCGCGAAAAACTCGTGCTGGATGACCTTGCTGACAAACTGCAACTGGGGCTTGGACAGCACAATGCTCCTCGCCATGTCCAAGGAGGCCCAAAGCGAGGAGCCGAGGCGGCAGACAAAATCCGCCAGTTCCTCCTTGCTCTGTGGCAGGGCATTCATTGACGCAAAAATGTTGTCAACCCTGGGCTGACGCACATGCGTCATACCGTCCCTGTGGTGAAGCAGCTGTTCATGTAGTGTGGCCAGAACCGAAACATCGCGAGACATGGCCTGCAGAAGGCGCTCCCAGGTAGGCAAAAAGTGTGAGACGAGTGCGTCGGCGGCTAACGGTGGGAGCTGAAACGGATGATGCTCCCGCTTTGTGTCACGCGGCGCAGAAGGTGTGAACGCATGATACGCCCTATGATCAATGTCACGCAGACACACAGAGGCCGTAAGCGTACCCAAAGGAAACCGCGCCGACACTGTCGCCTCGCGTCTCTCCTTCCACAGCTCTAAAGCTGCATTCAACACTGTCCTAAACGCCTTTCGCTGTGGCGCATCACCGCTTGTTGCCGATGACTCGAAGAGTTGCGCGCACCGTTGCTCCAGCACATCAGTAAGCTCCTGAAAGCGCAACGCCTGCGGCACAGTAACCGCCATGACGACATCCAGGTACACAAACATCATAGAGACAAACAGAAAAACCTCTTGTGCAGGAAGAGACAAGTTCAACGCCATGTGCACCATTCTTGTTGTGAACGAGGATCGTAACGGGCTGAAGAGAAGCGTCGGACACATAAAGCATTCGTATGGTGCCACTGCTGCCACGCGGTTTTGACACAAATGCAGTGGTAGGTTGCCATTATCGTCCTCGTCCCCACGGCTGACAGCTGGGACTTGTGTTGTTGCCTCCGGCGCCTTGCCAGGGGGAGCAGGCTCCGCCAGGGAGATGAAGGGAACCTGTCGCGTGGACACACGAGCAGAGCGCACGGTGTGCAGCCATCGTGAGTTTCGCTCAGCGTCGCTCCGGAAGAAGGCCACATGTTCGTAGAGGGCCGGATGCTCCTCTGGGTCCACGAACAGTGGCCGCCATGATGAGATGCGCTGGAACGACGCGTTGTCCTCCACAGGGAGCAGCCGCTCCGAGCGTCGGAGTTCCGAGAAGATGAAGCTCATTGTCTCCCAGAATCGCGTCTTCCCG